TTTCTTTCTTTCTTTCTGAAACTATCCTCCCTATAGAATCTGAGACTTTCTGCTGCCATCACTGTCAGAAGAAATCAGACTCCAGCCTTTGAATTCATTTCCCTAGCAACTTGACATAGGACTTAGACCCACAGCCTCCCACCACATCTGTGTCTTTCTGCTTTTCCAGCTTCTAGCACTGAGCAGCAGCTATAGCGTTTCTCAGCCCTCCAGCCTGCCGACAGCCACTCTGAAACTAACCAAGCACTGGTTGTCTAATAAATCACACTCTAAGCTTATGCATATTCTCTTGGCTGTGTTCCTTTGTAGACTACTATGACTAACCAAGAGCTACAGAGATTTCTATTTATTTCCATAGTAAAACATCAACTTTTTATTTCTCTTTTCAGTTCAATACTCTGTCACAGAAATTAATGACTGGAAGGATCTCTACTGTTGCTCTAGGGGGTAGCTTTTTTCCTAAGGAGACACAAAATGACTCTTAGAGTGGTTATTAAGCCCACAGGCCTATGGCCAGCAAAGCTAACAACAGAAAGCCACACTTCTGTCTTCTCCTCAACCATTCCTAAGGTACCCATGGAAAGAAGGAGGGTCATACCTTGGCTCAGAGACTATATACTGTGGTGGGCATTAGCCTGATTGCCCCCAGAGCTCCCACAAGTTGGGGTTCTCACAGGCTCCCATGAACAGTAGTTCACACAGGCATGCTCAGGTACCTGTCAGGAGAAGGTATGCCCTATGCACAGACAGCCTGTTCTGTGTCATCCAGAGAATGCAACTCAAAGATAGATCCCACTCATGATAAGTGTCAGAACTGAGTGAACCATAAGATGACTGGTAAGCCTGGGGCACACAAAGGGAAACTCAGGTGTACACCAAGCACAACCCTGTAGGTTTTGATGGAAACATCTTTTAACTATATTAATGACTCTGGGAGGTCTCATCATTCACCTATGAGGGATGGTTAGCAACTTAAAATTTGATGGCTTTCTGTTTTCCATCTTGGTGATCATTAACTTCACAAATCCATCACACATCTGTGTAAATTCACATTCAGATCTTATAATATTATGACAATGAAGTATCACTCATGCTTGAGTTATAAGATCACACTACATTCATTCATTGCAGAGCTGGCAGACATTCTGCCCCCATTGGTGGCTTAGTTTTCTAATGCATGTAACCAAGGTCTTTATTGTCTATGAAAAGAAGTTATTATAGGATCTCTTGATGCCACAGGTGGAATGTACCTATTCCAAACACCTGAAAACCCAAACACTTCACAGCCAGGGGCGTTATGAACTTGACAGTTAGAAAATAACATATCACAAAACTTTGTTTCATGTGTAAAATTATGCCAAATAGCATATAAAGTTACTTCTAGCCTATGGCTACAAAGTGCATCTAAAACAGAAATGAACTTTGTGCTCCTAGAGGCTCCTTGCCCCAAGATATCTCTTTATAATAGCCCCTAAAAGGCAACTCTGAAACACTTCAATCCCCAGGCATTTTGGGTGCAGAATTCTACATTTCATTAAAAAATTCCTCATAAAATTTCTTTCTCCTTTTCCAAGGTAATAATCCCACAAACCCCCACCTGCAGGGGGCTTTCCACACCTGCTACTGTCTGGGCTCTGTGACCTTGCTTGACCTGGGCCTAGTACTGGGCAGTCCATTATTCCCAGACTTCTGTACTTGAGAGACCGTACCACTGGTAAAATGACATGTCTCAAAATATTGAGATTCTGCTTACCCTCAATGAAAGCTTAGACTATGTACAATAAGTGTTTCTTTAGCACTTTTGAAAGGCAACTAATCATTTCTTTCTACAGTTTTTCTTCTTATCCAACATGATTAGAATTTCATCTTTATCTTGCAGTATTCAATTGGCA